GTGACGCACTCTCGGCGTGACGCACTCTCGGCGTGACGCACTCTCGGCCTGACGCACTCTCGGCGTGACGCACTCTCGGCGTGACGCACCCTCGGCATGACACACTCACGGCATGTCGTCTCCTTGTGAGAAGGCACCATCGCTTGTTTGTTTGAACGACTGTATATAAAAGCACAACAAACAAACAAACAACATGACGCACTCTCGGCATGACGTACTCTCTTTCCCTCAGCCCAGGAGTAGGGTCCGGCAGATAATAGGGATCATTAGCAAGCCATGAAACGTCAACGGGAACGAGTTCATCGGAACGTACGTGAAACATGGCGTGATTTAGGATTAGCTTCTCGCGTTCACAACCCGTCTACGCGAGTCGGCGGCTTGCCAGATTCAAACAGTTCTCATATTTTACTTGCACTGATTTTTGCCAACTTTTCCTTGAGAACAATTCTCAGCTTGACTGACTTTTACCTGAACGAAAGTGAAAGAAACCCCACGACATCCACATCGCCGGATGGATGGGTGCAGCAAGGCGGTATGTTCGCGAGGTCCATGTCAAAGACATTCTCCGATAGACTTTAGGAGCCAGTCAGTTGAGAACATTTGAAAAAATGTACGTTTCAGAGCAGTCGACAAAAAACGAGCGCTCGCAGCAAGCTGAAGGTGGTCGTGGTCTAGAGTAAATCTAATTTTTTTAATTTTCGGCACTGTGGTTACCCTCGATCCTGTTCTGTTCCATGTTAGTAATAGTTATGCCATAATCAATGGTCCTACTGGTTGTTTGGCTCGTTTCACCATCATATTTATTCCAAGAATGGACAGCCTGAAAACATTGTCGAAATTTGAGAAAAATCGCGCAAAGACAAAAAGAGGCGCTATTTACAGTACTATTGTCCGTATCATGGTTGAAATCACACGTACTGGACTAAAACCCACTCGTTGCAGTCATGACGAGTAGACCACTCCGAACTCATCAAACACGAGTATGTTTTGCGTGGTCAGGACGGGACTCTAACCCAGCTCCCCCTTCGCATTGCCGTTTCACGGCTTGCTAATGGTCCCTAATGCTCCGAAAACGCTCGTGTAATGCTAACCATAATGCTCCAAAACTACCTTACATTATAATGCTGATTATAATGCTTCAGAAAGGGCTATAATGCTCTTGGTTTGAGACAGAAAGGAAGAATAGCTGCAACTTCCAGGAAGGAATGAACATAGTCAATCTACCTCTGAAGCTGCCACAATATCTCTCACCAGCGTCATCACCTCTTAGTACTGTAAGACACGATTGCTTCTCCAGTGGCTGCTCTCCATTGCAACTTTGATGCAGGACTGTGGCAGAATAGTAGACCGGTGTATCAAATCCTTTCCCCTCATCATCCAGGTCACAGTGAGAGGTGGAAACCATTTTGATCATTGGGATGCTGGAAACTTAACACGGCAAGTTGTAATCCTACCTGCGGACAAGCTGTCACTGCTTCCACTCTGTGAATAACGCCTTCATCCGAAACTGCAGCAGACACTAGGCGAGTTCATGAGAGCCGATAATGGATCATGGATCGACTCCTCCCATCTGCGGAAAGCCTGAAAACACGTGGTCCGAAGTTATTTTGCCGCTCTACATCCTTTGCTTGTGCAGTCTTCATGGTCTTCTTCTCCTCTTGGTGTTGTGTAAACAAATGGGTGGCCACAATGCTCTCCTTTTTTAATAGAGCTTGACTGCAGGCTTGGCATTAGAACCGTCCACAACTAACTGTACGTGTTTCACCAGGAAAGTCGGACACGCGCTGCTGAGAGCTCATACCTTGGTACTGAGTCCATGAGTAAATCATCTAGGTTTTTTTCGAGCCTGCTGAGCTGGACTCGGCAAAGGCAGTTCTTTCTCCGCTTTCTATTCATAGCCGCTCCTTCATCCTGGTCCAAATTTATCAATGGATCAGTGTCTACTTCAGTACTGTATCGCTAGAGATGCTATCGCCAGTGCCTGAGGCACAACGAGAAAATTCCTCTTCGTCTGCCTCCTTCATGATCCATGGCTCTCCATGATTTCTAAAAAACAAAACACCTACCCCATGTCACATGAAAATGATTGTTTCGGATTTGTGTAACCATGGTAACACTAACAGCTTTGGTAGGGCATTCTACTCGACTGTACCTATTGTTAGATTGACAATGACAGCATGAAACAAGGTGGAGGACACTGTGTTCGGAAACAGTGACCTTACTACAACCTTCCGCGGTTGGCAGAGCCCAATATGTGTGAACTATAACAAGGTTTATCTTATAGTACTGTACTAGTTTTGAACTAGTATTGGGCTATACCGTATATTATATTATCGACTGTACCTCTACATAATTGCTACATAAAGCGGACAAGAAACTACACTGATGGAAATAAAGTTTTAGAAAGTGTTAAGTGTCCATAAAGTCATGTACCGGCGCGGTAGATCTACAATGCATTCCTACATTGTAGCTGGACGCATTTCAGACAGGTACTAGGTTGGATCTCATGACTGCATGCAGCCGATTGTTGCCAAAAACCAGGGATTTCCATATAATTATTATCACCTATGAGGCTATGAAACTCGTATGATGCCGCTCTGATCTCACATATGCTCGCTTTGTTCCTTTCTAATGCTCCATAATGCTCTGATGCTCGGATAGCCTCATATATTATTAGGGGTAAGCGGATTATGCTCGGAAAATGACCAGATTATGCTCGGAAAATGACCAGATTACCGGTATGCTCTAGCGGATGCTCGAGAAAACAGACAATTATGCTTTTTACATGTTTCACCAAAAGAGCAGATAATTGTCATGAAAAAAGGACTCAGAGTCTCAGACCATTGTCATGATGTGGACTGGGAGCTTTGTGGAAGTACAAGACAATAATATGCAAGAGGAATACCAAATAATAATTCACAAGCAAACGCTGAACTTTTGGGAGATGTCCTATAGTGGTTGCTAAATATTATTCCAAATTGACAAGAAGTACTATATGTATGGTCCTTCGCAGGTGTGTATGTAACAGCCTAATTGGGCATCTGCCCTGGTTTTTCGGATGCCATTTTAAAAAGGACCTGATTATGCCAAAAAATTGCCGGCATAATCCGCTTACCCCTGGTTACGGGACATGAACGGGATAGGGCCAGGCATGGTGCGTCACGTTTGTTATCTTGCTGTCCACGGCACCCATCCTGTCACGAAGTCGGCGAGTCTCCAAACAACGGGATCTTTGCTCCTTCGTTTCTTGTTGTCGTCGTAGCAATAGCCAGGGTGGGGCAATTCGAGGGCTACTTGAGCGACCCCTTCAAACTCTCTCGCTGTATCCTCTTATTTTGTAGTGCAACGAGTCACATAATCTGCCAGAGACGGCGTCACGTCCGGGCCTGACTCGTTTTTTTTTTGTTTTTTTTTTTTACTATGTTCACATAACCAGCTCGAAAAGAATAAGGAAAGACAATG